TGCAGATTTTCTCTTACACTGAGTAATATATATCGATTGAAATTTTGATTGAAGCTTTTGAAGTACATTATGAATATATTGCCTTGAACAACCTTAAGTGATTTAACAATCTTTGTTAATGGTAGCAAGACAACGTATGCAGACATTTCAATATTACTGATCAACTTTAATTAAAAAGAGAACAAACATGAGATACACGTGTGTAAACTAACAAAGCATAGTAAGCACTTCTTGATCAACTCACAATTTGGATAATAAATTTACATCAAGGCAAATTTTGTTAATAACAATATTTATAAAGTGCACATCATTGCAGTAGTGCCCATTTTTAACTTTAAAAAAAAACAATTACATGTACTATACCAGTTTCCACATTCAAGCATTCTAACTAAAAACCGGAAGCACCTCCCCCTCACTTGCTGCTTAGTTTTTCTCACATTGCCTGGCCCCTACTCAGATTTTTCTCTGGCTCTGCCCCTGGAGGCCTGATGCAATGCTGAAGTTTTTGCCCTGGAGTAGTTGTTCGCTTTGCATGCACTTTTTTTCATCTTCCCCCTCCTTTGTCTGGCTATTTTCTCATAGCCCAAGGCAATTCAACAAAATGACCACCTCGGAACATCAGAGGTTTTATCCTTGGAATCGACATTATGCGTTGCCCTACACGCATGATAGATTTCAATTGTAAAAACTCTTAGTGTGTTAAGGAACACCAAAAGAACTCTCGGCTTACAAAAATCATGTGCTGTGCGCTGTGTCTATAGCAGCTGATATTATTTTACTAATAAGGTAGTGTACATTGAATTATGTAACTCACTTCACAGGAAAAATTGATACATTTTCTGTATCTACTCCAATGTTTGTTTTGTGCACCTTACTGTAGTCAATTGTACTTTATAGAGGCACTTAATAAGCTATTATTGTTATTCTTATTCTTTATTGGCAATCAAGAAAGCTGGACGGGAGGAGATGGTCTCTAAGTAAACCTAAATCCTAAAACATAATGTCGGAGAACCACTCCCATCCAGTAATTACAAAACAAATATATATAATTAATAATATTATAATAATATATAAAACACATTGTCAAAAGAAATCAGATGAAACAGACATTGCGAAGTCCCCAAAATTAATAAAATAGCCTACACTGTAGTAACTAACACTATAAAACGTATGGTAGACATAGACTAATAACTGATGGCTATACTCGCATCTAGCATCGGATTGTCAATGCCACAGTAAAGATCAAAGGACTGTACACAAGCGCTATGTTCGAGAGTGGAGATGAGCGTCCTTTTGTTGGATTGCCTCTTGCATAGCATTCTGTCATAAGCTAATGATACTGTTGGTGTATGTGCTTGCATCACTATTGTACTGACTTAATCTTTAATGTTAATTACGAAAATCAATTATTTCTAAGGCAATAAATCATCTCCAGTCATCAATAATTTTATTATATTTTATTGCAAATTAATAATATTATCAAATATTAACTCTTATGTACAGTAAGGAATTTCCTTCACTGTTATGTTGTGTATTGAAATTTTAAATATTGTTAAATGAATAAAAATATAAAATCATAAAAAATAATACCACCTTAATTTTTTATCATTATTGATTACATCATTATCATCATCATCATCATCACAAATACTTATTTATTACCCTTATTGCTATTGCATTGTTACTATTATATAGCTACTACTTTATTCATTATTCTAAAGCATCATTTATTCAACATAAAAGATAAACTTTAAGTCCATTCCCGGTAAAATTTCACTAAAAATTGACTTTTTTAGAAAATATGCATTTGCATTAATCCAATTATTATAAATCATGGAAAAATATTGGCATGAATTTTAGTTTTACACAAAAGAATTTAAAAAATGAGAATATACAGACTATTTCTCATAAAATATTACCATTTTCTCGACGAATTCAT